GAGGAGAGACCAGGCGGCGGTTCAACACACGCCGACTTGAAGATCCAGCGGTAAAAAGGTCTTTTGTTGAAGAACTTGAGACTCGAGCTGCGGACGTTCCAGAAGGTGGCAGCGTAGAAGAACAATGGACGGCCATCAAGAATGTCTTTATAGAAACAAGCGAGAACAACTTGGGTGAGCTGTGCACCCAGCGGAAAGAGTGAATCACAGATGAAACCTGGCGGAAGATTGAGGAGCTTAGAGAAGCAAAAGCCGCGATAGAGCGGGCGAGAAGCAGAGGAGCCAAGAACGAAGCCCGTCAACGGTACTCGGCTCTAGAGAAGGAAGGCAAGCGCTCTTGCAGACGGGACAAGCGAGCGTGGGTGAACTCCCTGGCCGACGAAGGGGAGAAAGCCGCAAACACTGGCGATATATGCCTCCTCTACGATATCTCACGACGCCTGAGTGGTGCAAGGATGAACCCGAGGATGCCTGACTGTGTGCGACAATTGGCGAGGCATCATGTTACTGTGTATTGTTCTCAAAGTTCTGTGCAAAGTTATCCTGATTCGGATACAGGAGAAGATCAACGTGACTCTCCGACGGCAGCAGGCAGGATTCCGTGCCGAAAGATCTTGTGTGGACCATATTGTCACGCTCCGCATCATCCTGGAGCTGGTCAATGAATTCCACGAGTCCCTTTATTTGGTATTCATTGACTACGAAAAAGCTTTCCACCGTCTCAATCACGAGAATCTGTGGGGCGCCCTGAGACGCAAGGGAGTCCCGGATGAAATCGTCAACCTCATCGAAGCGCAGTATGAGGCTTTGACGTGCAGAGTTCTGCATAACGGAGCCTTGTCCGACCCTATCCGGGTAGTCGCTGGTGTGAGACAAGGATGTATACTATCACCGCTACTGTTTCTCATCGTAATCGACGAGATCATGGTAGGTGCAATTGACCGTGTACCGTGGGCTGCTTTGGCAGCCTATCATCATGGAGCATCTCAACGACTTCGATTTGGCTGATGAGGTTGCTCTACTAGCACAACGGCGCTCTGATATGCAGAGTAAGCTCAATGACCTAGCCGAACGCTCCTCTGCGGCGAGTCTCACCATCAACGTCAACAAGACCAAATCGTTGGATATCAACACGATACCAACTTTAACGGGCAACCCTTCCAACTTTACGGTAGCGGGGCAAGCAGTGGAGAAGGTCGAAAGTTTCCAATATCTTGGCAGCCAAATAGCGTCGGACGGCGGGACCAAGAGCGACATAGGTGCACGAATCAAGAAGGCTAGGGCTGCCTTTGCGAGTTTACAAAACGTATGGAGATCCAACCAGATAAGTCAATTTTCAACTCGAACGTGAAATCTGTGTTGTTATACGCCAGCGAGACGTGGTGTGTATCAGCAGAGAACACTCAAAAGCTGCAGGTCTTCATCAACTGATGACTGCGGTATATAATTCGTGCTTGGTGGCCTCACAACTGGATCTCGAATGCCGAGCTCCATCGTCAATGTCATCAGAAGCCGATAGCAACAGAAATTCGAGAGCGAAAGTGGAGGTGGTTCGGCCACACGCTTCGACGGGGCGGAAACGAAATCTGCAAGCAAGGACTGGATTGGAATCCACCAGGACATCGCAGGAGAAGCAGACCCAGGGGCTCATGGCGGTGGAGCCTCAATAAGGAAATTAAGCAAGTCGATAGAAATCTGACCTGGGCCCAGGTCAAGGCAAAAGCGAGCAGCCGCCCAGGATGGAAGTTTTTCACGTTGGCCCTTTGCATCGCTGGTGGTGCACAGGACCCTTAATCGAAAATAATATAACATTAAAGATGGTCATTTTATGTTATTAAAGATTTAAGCAGTTACTTGGATTTACCCTAAATTACTTGATTTTTTTTTAACGTGTTTATTTTTGATGAAAAGGAATATTTTTTCCCGCAACTTACTCTCTGATATCATTTTGATTGGAAGTAGCGTTTTCGAGTTATGATTTGTTGAAAAATCTCGCAATCGCCATTTTGAAGTTTTTTACAAGATTTTTAGCAAAAACGTGAAAGATTGACCATAACAAACAATTATGCAGATTGCTTTGGTCTGGAAATGCTCTGTAATGGGATAACCCATTCGGCTGCTTTGCCTTACCCTTTGTTAAATTTACCAAATCTGACAATATTGAAATGTAGTTGAGGAAATTCTTGATCCAATGCACAGTGGACTGTGGTCCGGAATGGCAATTTTGCAGGAAAAAAATGTTTACTCTTTTACTATTCATTTTTGATGGCTAGTGTCTTCGGGGAAGTTATTTATATTGAAATGGGCCTCCTTTTTTTTTAAACGAGATTGGTACTAATTTTAATCTTCATCAGAAATCTAACTTTTGTGTTTGAAATTATAGGTGGCTACATTCTTCAGCAAAATTGTACAACAAGCTACTTCACTGGAGAAATATTTTTTCTAACTCTTCATCTGACCATACTACAACTATTTATCCGGCTTAATTTAGGGTGTCCCTTAAACATCTGTTTTATTCGAACTTTTTTGTTTCAAATTTTACGCTCTGATAAGAAGTGATCTGCAGAAGAGTTGTAGGGAATGCAACAATTTTTTTTCCTTGATTTGATTTCCGTTCTCAGCACCAATGCTACCGACGCCAGGGAACCTGAACCCTACCTATCAACCCATCAACTCATGAACCGGGGACCAACGCACAGTGGTTCAGGATTGGAATTCAGCAATGACAAAAGTCCATAGTACTTTTGTTTTAGGATTTAGGCGTTTGGTGTCTTGAGTAAAGTTTTTCTTCTTTAAATTATCCCTTAATTTTTTGAAATCCAAAAACTAACTTTCTTATTTAAAAAAAATAAGACAAGCATTATTCAAAGAAGTTGTTAGTGAATTAATTTTAAACAACTTTGTTGAAAAAAGCTTTTGTGTATCTCTTATCGTTTTCATTTTAGATATTTTTTTCTGAACTGCGTTAGGGTGCACCCAAAAAAAAATCAGTTTTTCAGCTCTAACTTTTTTATTTCAAATTTTTCGTAAAAACTGTTTTCAAAGAACTTTTAGAACTCGTCAAAATACACAACTTTGTACAAGAAATAAAATCTTTATCTCTCGACTTACGAGATATTTGATTTTGTATGAAAAAAATACGTTACAAATGCTTTTTCTTGATTTTCACTGCGAGGATCTGCAACAACTTCTTATTTAGTATTTTCTTGCATAGATTAAAAACGGTCCTCTTATTTTTAAATTAGCTTCCTGATCCATCTGAGAAAAAGTAAATCTGGTGTAAGCGTTGCAATTTACATTTTATGAACGCTAGACAATGCGTAAGAAATAAACGAACTGCAACATGATTATGTTTAGTGAAATCAGTAATTGCAATAAAACTAGTAAATTTCAAATCGTTCGATTCTTCGTCTTTAAAATAAATAGCACAAGGGTGAATAGTACATTGGGCGTTCGCCCCCTGGCTATGCCTATGAATGTGCATAGAAAATAATCTCATGATGGTTTTGTAAGAAAATATTAATTCTAGAAAAACTTGCTCGTCCATTGTAAGAACTGGCAGTTTATGTTCATGCCATTTGTTTTGCGTGTATATCATTTTTAAATTCTAATTCCTGTGAGTGTGACCCACTCAAGAATAGCTTGTGACATCAGCGGTAGGTATTTATAGTATTCAAGTAAATTAGTATAAGCGGCGCCGGTGGTGTAGTGGTAAGCGTGATTACCTCTCACCCCAGCAGGCCTGGGTTCAATCCCAGTCGGCGCCGCCGGGATGTTCTGAGGCATAACATCTCTGATCACGTCTTCCTTCGGAAGGGAAGTAAAGCCGTTGGTCCCCGGTTCATGAGTTGATGGGTCGATAGGTAGGGTCCAGGTGTGGGAGCTGCCTTCCTGGCGTCGGTAGCATTGGTGCTCAGCACGGAAAACAAGATCGACGGAAAACAAATCAAAGAAAAAAAAAAAAAAAGTAAATTAGTCGAAATTTGGCCTCTATTGTGATTAAATTGTGGATCTAAAAAATGCTTAAATTGTGCTAAAATATTTTTATTAGACCAATTAGGGGGATGAGGGGCATAGTGAACAGGTGGGTCAAAGTGAGCATCCCGCAGTTTGGCTCTGGATATCTAGCTTCATGAAACAAATCAACTGGTAGTAAGTTCAATATCATTATGATATTGATCCTAACACCAATAAATTAGTTCAGAACGGCCGGTAGTCCAAGCTGGTGCACGGGATGCTCACTATGTCCCACCTGTTCACTATGCCCCTCTTACCCCTATATCGAAAGAAAATCATATACCTATCGATGTACGCTATTCCATAGCCCTCTATAATCAAATTAGGAAACAATCATAAATCCTTGTAGTCTATTCTCCAATCATCTTCTTCAATCTACAAGAACCACTTTTATAGGCTACAACCTATGAATTGAATGCCATCTTAGAGCACTTTTTCCAACTAGCGCTCACAGTTCCACTAGTCTCCGCCAGGTGGAATTTCATTATATCTAGATCAGCTTTATCTAGACAATACTGTATGGATGCCTCGGCTAAAAAATCCTTCCGAAGACCAAAACCGTTTTCTTGGATAATATTTGGAAATCGAATAGCACCGCGGTTCACTCGTTATCCGTCATTTTTCTCTCACACCCTCACGCAGCTAAACGTCAACAAGTGCCTCCGAAGGTTTTGACAGTTCTCTTTTGTTCTCCATCTTTGAGTGTTGATATTTTTTTCTTCTTCTTTCTTCTTGTTGGCATCCTTTGCGCATAACCTCATTGACTGACTGTTAATTGTTTACAACTTGTAGCCTACACCAACACACACAGGCCATGTGGAGAAAGAAGACCAACCAACAACAATATAATTGTGTACATTTTTCGGGCAGATGGCTGTGTGTATGCCTTGCGCAGTATTTTATTTTTCGGATCTTCTTCGTCTTCCCATCGGGAACGCGGGTGTCTGTCTGCACACTGCCACTTGTCTTTAGTAGTATTTCGGACGCTTTCGCCGTCGGTTGGTGCGTTTCGTCGGTTTTCGGGTGTTCCTGCGTGCGGTTTTCGGTCGTAAAACGGTCAATTATTGTGAATTATTTGGTGTTACTTGGGTTGATTGCTGTTGCCAGTTTGGAATTGAACAAGTTTTGATTGAAAAAGGATCGAAAATCGGCGATTGTGTCGATCACGGTATCGCAGTCGGCGGCGGCGATCAAAGGCAGATCAAAGGAGGCGCGCGTGTTGTTGCACTGGATGATAAAGAGCAACGAGTGAGATAGCGTTGTCACATCTGGTTTTTGTCAACATTGAGTTCGTCAGAGGAGAAGCAGCTAGGGACGAGAGTGTGTCTTATAGAACACGAGCGTCTTGAGGCATTGGGGTGAATGGTCGCGGACGGTGATTGAAGAACGAGGATCGAGTTTTATTGCATTCAAGTGCGAAGAATAGAGTCAGAATGTTGTAAATTTGAGGCAGTTTGCTGCTGAGTGTGCGGTGGTATTGGTGCGGTGGTGCGTCTAAAAATATACGAAGCGGCGGTGCAGTGCTGATGAGATCCAAACAGCCGTCGCCGGTTGTTTGGTGGTGTTAGTGTTAAGAGTAATCGGCGATCTTTTGATATGTTGTTGATTGCATTTTGAAGTTGTCGGTGTGTGCGTGTTGAAATAACACCGGAAAGTGTGTGAAGTGTAAAGGAGTTAAAGAAAAGAGCATATGAATCGAAGTGTGTGAAGAGTAACCATTAGTTCTTTTTTTTGGAAATGGTTAAAATGCGTATGATGATCAGATCGATTGTTCTGGTGTTATGCTACGCCAATGCTGGATTGGCCATCCAGCAGCAGGAAACCTTTGGTGGTCATGAAATATCCAGCATGAACGTGGATGATTTTCAGCATCACAATCGTTGCGAGATGATAACAATACCCTTCTGTACGGATATCCAGTACAACAAGACCATCATGCCAAACCTGATTGGTCACACCAAGCAGGAGGAAGCTGCATTGGAGGTTCATCAGTTCATACCACTCGTCAAGATCGACTGCAGTCCGGATCTTAAGTTCTTTCTTTGCACCCTGTACGCACCTGTCTGTACTATTCTCAATTATCCCATTCCACCTTGTCGGAGCTTGTGCGAGAGTGCACGGCTCTGCGAAACAATTATGAGGACTTTCGACTTCCAATGGCCGGAAAACTTGGAGTGCAGCAAGTTCCCAGAGGATGGTAAAGAGCTGTGCGTTTCGCAAAACAACTCTTCGGAAAGTACTCCAATGCCCACGAGTGCAATGCATCCGACGAAGCCACATGTCCCGAGGAAAAACGTCCATTCTGGAGCTACCGGAAACCACGTCGGCATCAGTCATCGAGATTTGGGATTCATTTGTCCGGTTCAGCTGAAGGCTCCAACCATTATGGGCTATCAGTTAATCGTAGGAGGAAAGGTAAGAAGTCACTTATCATCGTCATCAACCTCATAATGATCCAATAAGACGGCCATCACGTCCTCTACAAACAACAATGTCCGAAATAAGCCCGTTACCATCATCCAAAGAACTCACTCATCACTTGAACGGCCAACTCTGAAGCGGCAAGAACGTTCCTGCTCCATAAAGAAGCAAAATTTTCATTTCAAACACGTTTTCCTCATTCAGCCTGGCAAATGGTTGTACGTACGAGCTCTTTACCCCTGAAAAAAGAGCAATAATAACAACATACCCAAACACACACAGACACAGACTCTGCTCGCAGTGTGTCGGTCAAACATGAACCAAGCAGCCAAGTTGGACGAAACGATAATGTTTGCCCTGGAAGCAGAAAAAAAAGAGCCTCAAAATCCAAAACTGAGCCACCGCACTATGGGGAATCTCCATGCAAGGAGGTGGTCAAAAATAATGTTCTTGCTTGCTATGCATTATTTGATAAGTTTTTAGGCACAACTTAAAACATCCATTTGAGATTCGGATTGAAGACTTCCTGGAGTTAAGAACTTGATGTTTTCAAGAGACTCAAAGTGGTCTAAGAAGCACGTTTCTGGCATTTCAATTCATAGTCCGAGCTTTGTAAAGCTTGATGATGACATTCGTATCATAGAATGGTATCTCTAAGATATTAAATGCTCTCTCTGGAATTACGATCTTGAAGTTCAGAGTCTTCTGCAACACTGCCCATGACTAATGTGCCTTCCACATGAAAGCTAGAAAAACACTACTTTAATGATTTAGTCGGTACAGTAAGTATTATTAGACAATTTTAACGTTTTAGATGTTCATAATACTATTCATCCATGCCGAGAATAAAAACTGCGAAATAAATAGCAAATTTGCAAACAGCATACTTTAACTATTTTGTTTGTATTTCTGCGTGAAGTTTACGATTTTACATAGTGGAGGTGCTAAGTTTCAAATAACAGACTTAAAGTGGTTATTTTATACGATATATGAGGAGATGAAAGTATAGAGTTGATAGTTCCGTTAGAGAACGGCAGTCTAGAAATTGTATATAGAGAGTAGAAAGCGAGCAAGAACAACTTTCAGGAACTCCCCAGTTGCCATCACTGGCAAAAAGAGATGCTCATCGATTTGCTCATGTACCTACGATGAGTGTTGAAACAGTTCTATCGATTGTACCGCACTCAAGTTGCTGAGGCATCTAGTCTTATGTTTGGAAATTGCAGCTATTGGATAAACAAAAGTTTAATAAAAATCAGGATTAAAGGGTGGAACGGTCAAAAATTGGTGAAACTGATTATAATATTATATAAATGATAAACCATTATTTCTTTTTGAAGTCCAACGGTCCCAAATTACAGGAATATTATTATACTAGGCTTCCGACTTTCCAAATGCGAACTACAGGGCTTTACGTTTCACACCATCAATCTGAATTTGTACTGCTGTTGCATTAACCTCATTTCAAGATAAACATTTTAAAAGGGCCTAGCTGTATTGACCGCTTCTCTTTATCGACTTTCTCTTTCGTCAATAACTCAGCTGCAAATCAATTTTTTAGTTTGGAGGGTTTTTATCCTTGAGTACGACTTGGACGTTGTTGGCGGTATGCCATTCCTGGCCAAAACAGTACGGAATAACTGTGTTTGTTCAAAAAAGGCAACAGGCGTTTTTGCAAACATTCCTTTACATAAAAATCTTAGTTAATAATGCCAGATATCACGAAAATTCCGCTTTTCAGACCACATGTGCAAATCACCAGCCAAACCAAGTATTTTTTCGGGAACTTTGACAACTTGTTCTGCTTAAACTTATCTTGAACTTGTCCTTTTTCGGTAGCCGTGCAAAACACTTGACCTGAGAGCTGCTTGAAATCCGCCTTCACGTATGTTCATGGTACATTATTGTAACAAGATGTTTCCGCGGCAGACTCAAATACCGTGCCAGACTAAACGAAACGATACGTCACCTCTGTTTTCTGGAACGCCTGTGCCGTGGATATCTTGCACACCGGGATCGGTAACAGAAGTGGAACCGATCTCAACCACGCAACAGAAACGGAACTCAACTGACAAAATGAGACTGCCTTTCTGATACGGACAGATGCAACCACTGCCCTAATATAATGTATAACCAATCCGCTTAAGCGTCAACACACCTTTCAGCGTGATGCGAAAATGCGCGTTGTAAAGTCTACCCAACCCAGCTAGCTCACTCAGGGCGGGTCTAACGATCGACTCTCAAACCAAACAACTAACGTCACCAAAAGCTTTGATAGGTAACTAGGGTTTTCGCAAGATGAAATCGTCTTGTATTCATTGGCTTTGCCCTATATATCTTTGGGTTACACATGTGTGGTTTTGAGTTAGAGCATTAGTAGGGTGTACATATAAAGGACTCTCGTTAATCTAATGTTCCAATCTGACCTTGGTACGCAACCTCAGTTTCTTACTGCTGACGATGGACGGCTACTCGGTGAACAAAGCTGTTGACGGTGGTTGGTGCTGACGGTCGCTGATGGAGTACGGTTATGTGACCGATGGACGTAGACGGTCACAGCGCTGTCGAACTTGCTTTCGGCCGGAGGACCGATCGACTGAGACGCCCGCAGCCTCGCTCCCGAGCTTGCTTTCGGCCGGATGGCCGATCGATGAATAGTGGCTAGAACGCCCCCTGTGCGACTAGAGTACGGTCGTGCTATCGATCGATGGGAATGGCAGCATCCTTGCTGCCGAGGTTACGTTCGGACGGGTAGTCGATTAACTGTCGATAGCTAGCGCACCCACTGTGCGTCTGGACGCCTTGACGCAATCAAACTTGGTCAACAATGTCGGGTACAACATACGTGCTCTTGCTTTGACCGTGGTGTTTTGCTTATCACCTCGAATGGGTGTCACTGTAACCTTGTATTTTGACAGTCCGGCTCGTTTCTTGGCTCTTTGCGCTGTTGTTTGCGATAATCCCAGCTTATTTCCGACATATCTGATGGAAAGGTTTGGATTACACTTGAAAACACTGGCCACTCTTCTACCGATCGCTGCGGTTTCGGTTTCGCCCTGATCCTGGTTTCCTAGCAGTCGTCAAACGTTCCCCAAGCACTTTAATAACGTTTATCACAGTCGATTTGGCCACTTTCAGCGATTTGGCCAAGTCTGCGTAGGAAAAATTGGAATTTTGTTTATGAGCCGGCAAAATTTTGATACGCTGCTCCTCTTGCTTTGATGCCATTTTGACAACTGAATAGTAAATAGCAATAAAAAAAATAGAGACAACATTCCGTACGTTCACACATACAAAATGACAGGGTATCCATCAAACCGAAAAAACCGGGAAATCCGGGAAAAAAAACCGGGAATTCAGATTTGCCGGGAAAAAACCGGGAAAAATGCGGGAAAATCCAAATCGCACCGGGAGAGATAATGTGTACTCATTCTAAGTAACAATTTTGGTTTTATCATAGTCTTGTAGGCCATAATTTGGTCTTCAACAATCATTTAAACCCTTATAAAACTTGCAATTTTACATGGAATCAACCAATTTTTTTAATATACATAATTATATTGATTTGTTTACACTTCTGTTAACAATTTTCATATTATGCTTTCACTGTGGTAAAGTATTAAAATAACTCAAAATTACAAAACAAATCTATTATTTTCTTTCACTTTTTGCTCCTACCAAGATAGCTTATAGAGTATTTTTTTAGAATTTCTTTTGATTGTCATTGGATAAAAATTTTTTGTATTATTTTGCTAGAGTTTTTCGAGTAAAGTAATGTTAATATAAAGCCTAACCGAGCCATATCTTGTCACGAAACTACTTTAAGATAGAGAAGCAAATTCATGCCAATTAAAAAAATGTCCGATCTCAAACTCCTTGCATGCCCGATCATGCCTGGCCTGCAAATGTTCGACACCGTACACAATTAACGAACTTTTGAAAAATATCATGAGATAATTGGTCCAGAGATAATAATTTCTGCACTTTGTGCTAATCAGGTACACAAGATTAGTCAGGATATCGTAGAATACGTTGGTTGGCCTGTAAAATATAAAGATCTGAATCTATACCTCTCACGCTGAAGCCAATGTACTTGATTATCTTATAGCGAATTCGTTTATTATCGGGGATAATACCAGTTCCAACCCAGTGCGAAACCGAACTTTTTGTCAGTGTGAACCTCAACCTGAGCTAGGTTTTAAAAACAAACGAGCAAACTGACGTTTGTCAGGAAACAAGCAGACCCAATCTTGATACCCGATCCAGGTTGGAACTTAATAATAAACGAATTCGCTATTAGAGATAAATCATCCAGTTCAAACCTAGGGGTAATCATCATTATCATGAACTTAAATCTAACCGGGATAAGTCACGAATGATCCATGAGTGTTAAAGTTACTATTGTATATAGTATAATATATAATAGTACAATGTATAATAATATAACTTATAATAATATAATATATAAATTAATTTGAAAGAATAAAGATGTGAACTCCAGGAATTTTGGAAAACCTAATATTCCAAACCACACAAGCAACATTTCCAATTTCAATGTGGTCTTTAAGTAAATTCTAAACCTATAGGGCCTCTTCAAAACCATGATAAAGCCAAAATTGTTACTTGGGCAATTATATTATGGGGCTTTCCGAAGGTTTACCCATTCAATCATTAGGTCGAATCATCGTATTGAAAATCTTAAATTATATTTCGAACGGAGATTCAAAATGCTCAAACGTCAAAATCGAACAAGATATGTATTAACCTGTAAAATATCTCCAATACAATATAAATATTTTGGTAACACTTCTTTGTATATCACAAAAAGTTTTAAGGCATATAGATCCAAACTCCTGGAAGATTTTAAGAATTCTCAATACTGCGTATTGATTTATGTTTTTTCAACATACCAAAGCAACATTAAGGCTAAATTTTTGCAGGAGACCCTTTGATTTTATACGAATCCATGCTTCCATGAGCTTTTGAAGATCTAG